CAAACTTCGTTTTCCTTCGAACACATTGATTGCTAATATTATTGTATACTTTTGGATAGCTTTTGAATGTCATTAAAAATTTTAAATTAGGTTACCAACCTGGTGCTGTGAGGAAGATTTGTGATACAAACAGATCTATGGAAGTCAAAGGAAGTGCAGAAAATCTTGTAGGGAGGGTAGGCATTATTTTATAGATAATTGTTGTTTAGAAGATCTGAATAATTGATATATATTTTTAGATATAATTAATGATTTTGTTTCTTTATTATTCTCAGTCAGTAGCACTTTTATTTAATGACTTAAAAATAACCTAATAAATTGCACGTAATATTTTCATCTTCTAATCAAACATCTTTTTATTAAAAATCAAACTGGTCTATTTACATGTTTTACACTCACCAAAAAGAAACCTATCATTCTATAGGTATTTGAAGAACTTGTAGCAATCCACCACAATTTAATTCTTCGTATTGTTATCTGACACTGGGCAGCTTGTACATAATTGAATAATTAGAGTTGTTTAAACGTCTGTTTAACAACAAGTTAAAACTTGGAATGGTCTATTCTTTCATTGGGGTGTGTGTGTGTCTATGAGCCAGACTAGTTCCAAAACTAGTCAGCTGCTCACACTTCTCTCAGGTTGTCCCTGCTCTATTAGTATAGAAAAGTATTGTACTGCATGTGCAAGAGTTTGGCCACACTGCAAAAGGAGACATTATATGAATATCTGTAAACAGTATGACAGTGATGCTTGTCTGGCCATACTGCATAAGGAGACATTATATGAATATCTGTAAACAGTATGACAGTGATGCTTGTCTGGCCACACTGCATAAGGAGACATTATATGAATATCCGTAAACAGTATGACAGTGATGCTTGTCTGGCCTCGTAACAAATAGTAATTTGATGCCTTTTTCATATTGGAGTTTAATATTACATTACAGCTCAAACTTGTATTGGTCAATAATAACTGAAAATAACTTTTAAATATTTGATACTATTCTCATCTTTACTTTCCTTCTGTCTCAATAAAAGATATTTTTCACTTTAAACCACAAATTTGGCATTTTTACTGACTGTAAAGCAGCAGTAAATGACTCTTTTTGTCTTACTAAGGTACAAAAATGCCCAACCAATAAGTTTCTACATTTCATTTACTAGGTCTCTTTTGTCACCAGATTTCTTCAGTATTTTTTTCATCTCACAATATAAAAGAATAGAAAATGATGAACTTAGATATTTTGCTTCTTCTTTCAATGTAAATCTATATGGATTAATCTTATTAAATTAATGGGTAGGGAGAAAATGAGAACTTTTACCCGTGTGTTGGTAACTAAACTACTAATGCAACAGAATACTGAGCTTGGTAGTAAACTCTTGGTTCTTTTCATATCCTAGAAGTGATTTATCTGTTTTCTGCAGATAAGTTAAATCTTAAATAACAAAAATTGCATGGAACAGTGATATCCTCTCATGGTATCTTGGTATGTGGGTACACTGATAACCAATCAATATAAGAAATTGGTAAAAAAATATTAAATAACTTAAAATGATTGAATCTATAATATTTTGTGAAACTAGAATAGATACATGAAAGGAAACATTATTATAACATGCTGAAGAACATTTCAAGGGATGAACCATGTCCTCCAGGTACTGTTAGGACTTGTGTTACAACCAGACCATTACACCATCATATTAACTTGTAAATATATATTTTTATTTCAAGATGAAACATGCCAGCATGTATGTTCTGAATAATGAAGTATTATATTTTAATCTGTTTAGGTATTGCATGAACAAGGTTTGGGTAAGTATTGCGACCCAGAGTTTGTGAGAACTACTCAGCGAGAAATAGCTGAAGCTATCGACATGACTCAGGAAGAAATGGACAGAGCTGCTCATCAGATTCTTCTTCAAGCAGAACCAGATTCTGCTGCTGGTGTTTTGTATTGCTCTAAGAATCATTCAGAATATGATCTTCTGGGAAATTTACAGAGAGGTGACTGTAGTGATGTAACCAAGGGCACAGAAACTGAAGTCTTAGGTTCGGCTTTAGACATGAATGCCTATATTTCTTATCAAAATGAGGCTGATTCGTCTGTTAAAATCAACTCTACAAGGAGATATGACAAAAGTAGAAAATATGACAATACGACTTTATAGCACTTATAGCTTTAGGGTGGAAATTATTAAAGTCCGGACCTGGAGATATCCACTTGGATTTGAGAATTGTCACTGGTGCTTCCTGCCACGTGAGCTCAGTTTTGTATTGTACAATGTTGGATATTATTCTTTATGTGCTACACATTAATGTTTCATCAAGTTTTGTTTATCCATGTTCTCTCTCTCTCTCTCTCTTCATGACTCTTACTATGGTGCTATAGAGGGTAATAATTCCCAGTGCCTTCCCACATCCCAATTTATAATTTGTGTATTTTTGATGAAACCTCACTGCTGGATGAAGTGTTCCATTAGTGAACAGTAGCCCAGTTTCCTTTGGTCACAACTGTTTCTCATACTCATTGGACATTTTCTTATCTGCAATTGTCGATTATGTTGGTGCAGAAAAGTTCTTGCAAGGACATCATGCCTTATCAAGTAAAGAACTGCCAACAACTGGTATCTTTGGGACTGAAAGAGGTTTTTAGCATTTTGTAACTGATGCTTTCTAAGAACAACAACAATCAAGTCTAGGAAGAAACATGCTTAATAACGTTGTTCTAAATGTAAAGTAATAAAATAATATTACAGTTAAAGACAAATATCCAATAAAATATACATCAGTAAATCCAACAAAACATTCACCAGTTAAACAACAACAACAACAGATTATGTAGTTTTTGAGCAGTTTTAAGGTTAGCTTGTAACTGGTTAGTAGGTTTTAGAATATTGAGAACAGAGGAAATTTAGTAACAGAGAAAATAGTACTAAGTGTGTTTTGAATAATAAGAATATAGATACACCAGCAAAAGAGGGTGGATATTTAGTGTCCAGAATATGAAAAATAAAGATACATCATTGGAAAAAAAGTAGTTAATTGACATCTAAAGTATGAGGAATAAAGATAGGTTATTAAAAGAAAGTGATTACTTAGTGTCCAGAATATGAAGAATAAGGATACATCATTGGAAAAAAGTAGTTAATTGACATCTAAAGTATGAGGAATAAAGATATGTTATTAAAAGAAAGTGATTAATTAGTGTCAAAGTATGAGAAATGGATACATCACTGAAAGAAAGTGATTAATTAGTGTCAAAGTATGAGAAATGGATACACCACTGAAAGAAAGTGATTACTTAGTGTCTAGAGTATAAAGAATAAAGATATACTACTAGAATATGAGAAATAAACAACACAATATCTTAAAATGGTAATATTAATATTTAATATGGAAACATCTATCATATACATTATATTATAAACATCATTATCATAATATAAATGTTTATTTTAAATTATAATTATTAACTATTTTAAAGAAATTATCATAAACATATCAGTTTGAAACATTTCATAAACATTTGCTGTTCTCCTTAGTTTTTAAAAAAACTATTTTGACAGAAGAATGAAATTTGGTGACTTGGAAGAGTTTCTTTTAAGCTGCTGTTCTTGAATAGTTCTATGTTAAAATAGTTTATCATACGTTATTATCAGATTTAAAATATTTCTTACAATTATGTCTCAAACTTTGGATGATAACTCATGATCCTTGATTCTTCTATCTAGTTCTTAGAACAAGTGATTCCAAATAGTATATTCACTCATTTAATAGTAGCAGATTTGTTTGGTGTACTGATAATTGTACTGTATATGTAATTCTGGGAAAAAGATATTTATGTAATCTGTCATAGCTGTTTCACATTAATGTTACAATTTTCATGTGATTTGGTAAGCATTTCATGTCATACATTTATTCCCATGTTTGACGTACTTTTAATAAATCAGCAAGCATCACTGTAGAATCATGTGTTGGAATAAATTTAAGTTTGTTTTGATCAATTAATAAAAAGTAAATAAAATTCATTATTCAATGTTCTAAAACTCTTAAACTTTTGAACTGGAAACATAAACAAACAATATCATCATATTTTAAGCTCACAAAAATTATGATTAAATGTATAGTAATATTTCTCTTTGACAAAATTCTTATGAGCATCTTCTGTAGTGTATTTAATTTAAATACAAAACTTTAAATAATTTTTATATAGTTTGAAAATGTTTTATTTTAAAGGCATTAGAAATAAAATATTACATAAATAATAGATGACAATGAGAATGCATTGTTTTTAAAATAAAACTGCTTGCAACTTGAGTAAATGGTAGATTAATATTACCTTTTATTTATAGAAAATTTTTCTAATGAGAGTAAATCAATTAGTTTTTCATGCATTAGACAGAAGACCCAATATGTTAAGCTAAAGCTATTATAATTTTATAGTAGCACAGTTGTGTTATCTTAACTCAGCCATACAAGTGAACACGGTATCCTAAAATCCTCAGAGTATTATAGTAACATGCTAACACTCAGACATACAATGGAGTAGTGGTTCAGTCATAGCAAGCTACATAGAGTCAGTAGACTAGTAAAATGGGTCAGTTATATCATGCTTCTACTGAGTTAGTAAATGGTGCATTGTTCACTTGTAGTTTTCAATGACTGATTCATTGGAAAACACTAAAGCTAGGTGGTACAATTCTCAATATCTATTGCCTGCTGTGAGGCGAGGTTGTTTGTGATGCTTCATGGAAATATTATTTCTTTACTTTTTTGTTAATTATTGTAACCCACTTACTTTGTACTTACTTTGTATTATTTGAAATTAATTAATCTTTTAATTAGATATCACTCATTGTTTATTCTTCAGTTTGGAAATTTCTCTTTAGGCCGGTTTAATTTCTTAAGTTTTAAACTTGGAATATACAAGATATCTGTTAGTGTAGATGCATGTTAACATAATCTATTGGAATGTTTGGACAAAAAGATTTGTATAAAAAGATGGACAGATAAACTGAGATCTACACCATTATTAAACTTTTGAAATATTTTGAGTAAAACACTGAAATAATTATCATGTACATAGAATCCAGATTAATTTATTCCTTGGAAAGAAAATGCATGTTTGTTTGCACTATATGTATATATATATTTATTTGAGTAAAAATTTGTCATATTTCTGAAAACAGTTTTTAAAAGATGGGAAAAAGTGAAAATTTATTTACTTGCTTCCTTAGGGTTCTGTTTAACTAGGTTAAAAACCTGGATAAGTAATTGTGTGAGGTAAATTTCAATTAATGAAAACGTTTTTGAAGTTTGATAAAGTTACTAATATGGGTTCAAGTCTAATGATTGATGAAATTCTTATTGAGATATAATACGAAAACTCCATAGTTTCTTGTGCCTCAACAATGTTTGATAACCTGAAAATAGTATATGAAATTTGAAGGTAGTATCTCAGAAACTTCCTCTAACGTTTTTTTCTTTTAAACAGTGTTTTGTCCCTCCAGTGGCTCAGCAGTAATTTTGAGGGCTTTTAATACTGAAAATCAATGTTTTATACTCGTGGTGGGCACAGCACAGATAGCCCATTGTGTAGCTTTGTGCTTAAGAACAAATAGTGTTTTGTAAAGAAACTATATCATAATTTTAATTACTCCTTGTTATGGAAAGTGGTTTTTAAATGTATTCCTTGTACTTATTGATAAAAACAAAACAATGTTTTTCATTAGTACTTAAGATGATGCAGTGGTTGAAAAGATTAACAACTTTTCAGTGCTCCTTAGTCCTTAACACTTAGATGTTTATTTATATAATGGTCAGCGACACCATAATTACAAGTTTTTAAAATAATTTCCTATGATGTCTCAAATGAAGAATATACTTTTCTCTGTTTGTGTGGATTTGATACATTCCCAAATGAAAAAAAGTTCTGATATTCTGTAATGATGAAAAATATTTGTTTAACTATGATGCCTATAATGTGGTTTGTAGTTCTCAAACTTTTGGAAGAAACACGTCACAGGTAGATTGTGCATGATGTTTTTTAAAAGACATTATTGAAAAATTATTGTCATATTGTAATTTTGTGTAAAGAAAGAGTAAATGCTACAAGAGCTTGCTGTTTATATAAAGCTGCTATTTATATGACATAAATGTGTGTGTGTCTATATATATATATATATATATATAGATATTTTGTTTTTTCAATTGTGATTTGTGAAATATATCACTCCATCTGTAAAAGAAAAATATGAGACCTCTATTTGAAATATAAATCATCCAAAACCATAACAGCTTCTAAACACAATCTTGCTTCACTTTGTTATGTTGTTTTTTTAATACAAAATTACTTTATTTTTACTGTAATTCATATTGAAGTTCATAAAACTAGTTGTCAGAAAACTACTTTTTAGTATATATATAGTAATGTAAATATTTGAATGTGTTGGGCTCAGGATTCTTCTACAGTAGGCGTCTGTGATTTCTTGGTGGCAAATTCGACAATAAACGAACAGCATACATTCCACTTGTTTTCAAAATAAGATATATATATTCGAAACAAGTTAAACGTATGTACAGAATTATTTAAACCATGAAAATCATAGTTGTATCTTAAACACTATATAGTTCCCTTTTTGTCAAAAGTCCACTTAGGTCAATTGCTTTAGAATCCAGTTGACAAGCCGAACTATTTTTTTCTATTTTTCTCGCCTTTATATCCGTGTATAATTCACTTACGCTGTCGCGTGAGTTACCGCTGTTGTATCGTGAACTTCTAATAATCGTCTGCCATTTGTCAGAGTCCACACAGGCGGATTCAATTAGTTTAGAACACCCTTTGACGAGACAAATTATTCTCCTTATCTTTTTCGAATTGTTAATCTCACTCTAATATATCAACCGTTAGGCCATTCATTCCCAAGACGGATACTCTACTCTGTAATGTAATGCTGTGATGATAGCTCATTTTTAAACTAAAATTTGAATAAAATCCTTTCTCTCACGGGTGGTGAATATTATTGAATGTCAAGTATGAGTACATTGTTGTAGAACTGTCAGACAATTCCAGAAAAGGCTGTAGGTCCAATAGCCTTCCGCGGGAACTAGCAGTTATACCTGCCTGGAGAGTGGGTATTTCCGCTAGTATATATAATGAAATACATGTGGATGTTAGACAAATGCACTTATTCTAAGTCCGCTGTAATAAGTTACACAGCTGACCTGTGTGAAATAATATGCAAATTCAGTAGGAAGAAAGAATTCTTTGTAGAATTTACACTTATAGCATGCACGCAATATATATATATAAATATAATAGTACTGCCTGTTGTATGTCCATGTCATTAGTTCGCAGGGTGTAGATGGACCTTCACCAAATTTGGTCTGGAGGTTCATTGGGTCCATAGAGAGATGCTTACAGATTTTCAGTTTTACATTTAGCGGTTTTTATGGGCATTTTAGCGTTTTCGCGCTTTTTACCATTACTTCGCCTCCTGTTGATGGATCTTCACCAAATTTGGCGTAATGGTTTGTTGGGTCCATGCGGAGATACATACAAATTTGCGGGTTCACATTTTCACTATAGGATAATTGGACACATAAACTCAAAAGTATTTTGGTGAGCATGGACGATAAGATATCTTACGGGCTTACAATGTTACCATGTTAGAATGGAGGGTCAGATTTACCGCAGAAGATAGTGTGCAGATAGCCCTTGGTATATCTCTTCACTTAGCAAACGACAACAACAACAGATCATTTACATTCTGTTTTTTTCGATACTTGCACAAAGCTACTCAAGAGTTATCTGTACTAACCTTCTGTAATTTTGATCTGATAAACCAGAAGGAAAGCAGATAGTCAACAATATCCATCGCCAATTGTTGGGCTACTATTGTCTTATCAAATAGTGCGGTTTTATTATCATCCTTATAACGCACCCATGGATTCAAAGTGTAGAGCGCAATTTTATATTTTTGGCATTAAAGGACGTGAACAATAGATCACCAGATCCATAGTTGAATACACTACCACTTGCGCCACGCTTGGCCCATCTTTACATTCCATTATCAGTTGCATGTGAATATTTCTGTTTGATCATAGTGCTAAATTAACATTAAAATGAAGTTAAATTTCTCATTAAATTGGTGATAGCACATTTGTAAAAACGTTATTGTCGAGATCTCAAAGTCATTCGTTAACTAAAACCTTTTCGTTTTGTAATAATAATAATTAATACTTATCGAGTGAACTTGCCGAAAAGTCAAAGACCAACTAATTAATAATGGCTGGAGACGGCTTAAATGGGTAATGAAGAAAAACTTTAATATAAGTTTAACATGACAGCAAATGTACAACGTTTCGACAAGGTTTTGTCATCATCAGGTCCAGCCATTATTAGTCTCAAAGTGGGCTCCTCGTC